ATTTTTTAGACTACTATAGTTTTTAGATAATTTAAACAATTATCAAATTGGTATGATGTATTAAAATACATAATATAACCATTAATAAGTAAAATATATGTCAATTTCCATTACCACGAAAACACCGCTTAACTTCACACATAAAAAATAATACGATACAGCACTCAGCCTAATTCCACAAATAAAAATAGTATGATATTAGTGCGAATTAAAACAGTTTTTTTCGTTGTTGGTGATTTTTTATTGATACGCTGAATAATATCACCCTAACTCTTTTATTTATTCTAAAATAATGAAAGTTATAGTTATACAATTGAACTATTTCCATATTATTTGTATCAAATTGAACATTTAATCATTAAATGTCACACGAGTTGATTCGAAGATCGAAAGTCGAAAAGTAACTTACTACAAATGTCTACACAGTGGATCGTTGATACAATCTTTTATTTATCGTAAAGGTTAATAAAGGCGTTTAAAAGGGTTAATATGCCTGTCGTACAATCTTAAATAGGATGTACATCGATAAGTGAAGATATTCGTCCCCGTTATTTATCAGAAACCCGTGAGCGGTTATGGGTTATTAAGTTTTTTAAAATCTATATGCGTTATTGTCCCACGCGTTATTTGTGCGTTTGTGCGGTAACGGGCGATGTCTACAATATAATAATAACAAGTTTTAAAGGTTAGACTACCGCATAATGACATTTTCATATTTTGTATTTTAATTGCAATTAATACATTTTACGAGTACCAATCGAAGTTTATAGTCGCAATATCAATTGAAAAAATAGAAAATATGGATTTAGTATTAATAGTGTATGTAGTGTGTAACCAGTGCTGTAGTCCTAAAAAGAGGCAGAGGGTACACTACGAGTTATAATATTAAACATTTATACTATCATTAGGTGTTATATTTTAAATTAGCTAAAATTCATAATCGTATAATCGAATACTTTAATAACATAACACACATACCTACATTTGTACAAATTAAAATTAAAACTAAACATTTTTTTTTTTATTAAAGTACTTTACTAAAATATTTTATTGAAGAATAATCCATAAATGTTGTCTGGATCCCGATTTTAATATATAATAGTTTTGATTTAGTTTTTAATGTTATTTGTATATATTCTCCTAATTCTTGCTCAAAACTTTCAATTATTCTAATTGTTCTTTTTATTGACTGTTAAGCTTTTGGCAGTGTAATTGTTCAAGACTGTAATTCTTTCGATAACATTGAAAGTTCTAGAAATAGATCATACGTAAGGCCTAAATCTAAAAAGAATTCTGACCTTTCAAGTCTTTTTCTTCAAACCAATAAATACGGCAATTGTATTTTTATCATTACTTTGGTCATCACAAGAACTTTTGAAATGAGAATGGAGGGCAGCAAATGACTTTCAAACTGCTCTTACTGTCCTTAAATTACTGGATACTCGTCTTGTATTAAGTACACGACGTATTTTATTAAACTGCAATTTTAGATCTTGACAACAACTTTCCAAAGCATGAGAATATTTTGGTAATTGACTGTAAAAACTATATAATTTATCTATAAAGCATTTAAAATGGTCGATTCCGCGTACGTCTTTTATTGTATCGGATACTGATAATTGAAGCCTATGATTAAAGCAGTGCTAAGTAAAAAGTTTTGAATATTTCTTACTTAATCGAGTTACTACACCTGAATTTTTACAATTTTTATTGAATACCATAACATTAGCTCTATCTGTAGCTATAACCACCCAATTTTTTTTTGTAAGTATTTTTCATGTAAACCAATTTATTTTAATGTGTTTAAAAGTTGTTTTTCTATCTCTTCAGCATCTTGAGACTGTAATTCACATAAATCCAAGAATACATATTCGGGATCATTTCCACCTAAATAAGTTTTTAAATAAACTACCAGAGTAGTTTTATTACTTAAGCTAGTAGATTCATCTTTAAGAATATTGCATTTTGAGTTTAGTGCGATAATCCTAGGTATTTATTATTTTCCCATTTTATTCAATATGTGATTTATTATATTTGTTGCAGAATATCTAGAATGAAGTATATTCCCTATTATATAAGTCTATTACCTAGATTAACACAAACTATTTCTTGTAATTTAATTAAATCATCGTGATCAGAAAACGGTCTATATTGCATTGCAATAAAATATGATGTTCTAAATACCTTATTTGTTGTCTGTTCATTATCGACCATACTTTTTTTCATAGACACTTCGATGGATTTTTTCTTTTCCTTCTTTATTTATTTTGTCAGCAGGTTGGTGCCTTTCAGATTCATAGTGTTTTTTTGATTTAAGTACGAAGATTTGATTGTTGGCTGGTAAGATCTTTCCCATAAGCCTCAATTAAACCATTACTCCACTCATAAGAAATACATTGACATTCCTATTTTTTTGCCGGGACGGGGTCATTTTGTTCGTTAAGAAAGGTGTCCGTTATATACAGGTGTCCGGTTTCACTGTTATGTTTTATACAACTTGTTCATTTTAACAATACACGTATTTCACCGTTTATTCTTAGTTTTTCTATCAAAAATATTAATAATAATCTAATGACTATAATCTTTATATTATTTGGTGATTTCACTACAACCGAGAATGTACGACCTTAATCAGAAGGTATACTGAATTTATTAGAAATAACCAGAAGGTATACGGCGTATATTGTGATATACTGTGGTATACCCTTCACTATAGCCCTGTGTGTAACTGAATTGAAGAATATACCGCGTCCGCACGCACATAATTAAATTTATTTTTTTTATACAAATAAATTGAATACGTTTTTTTATACAAACGTATTACATATTGTCAATATTTTTTATAAAAGATAAATTATTTTGTGATTAACATTCTTAAAATAATATTTACAGTACTTGTATGGAATATATAATAAATTATCGTTTACAATGATTATCTTTTAATTTAATATAATAATGATTAATTAATATATTTTTAACGATTTTTTTTTTATTATACAGAACTATATAGGAGTAATTTTCTTAAAATATTTTATTGTGTCATTTTTTTTGAATTTAAGAATATGTAATTGGCAGAAATCACTAAGTCTATATAAAATTATTTTTATTGTTAAATACAATAATCGTAGTAAACAATGACTTAATTTAGAAATTTGAATTATTACTATTAAATTTTTTTGTTCTGAATTTTCTTTATATTTTATGAAATAATAATACGTTCAACAAATTCAACATTACATTAACAAAGTATTCTATCACTAGGAATAGTAAAATAAAGAAATATTGTAATTTAATAGAACATTATTCATTTTTTGTGCAACTTTTTCAATAACAGTATGTAAAATATAAATGTATTTAACTAGGTAAATATATTATATACCATAGGTAGAATAAAAATGTTGATAAGTAAATTAAATTAATCATAATTGTAATCGTATTGGTACTTAAGCCATCTGATCATAAGTGAAACTATGGGTCAAGCCAGTCAGGCCATGGCCTGACCTAATACTAACGAAAAATATTTATATATTATATATTTTAATAATTATTTAGGCATTATAAATAATATATTTATACATGTAAACGTATAAATTTGTGCGTTTCATATAATACTATAATATAATATAGTATAAAGGTACATTTGGATCAAATAAAGATTATAATAGAACATAATAAGTCTATTCTATGGATTCGAATAATGGGTTTTATTATTTATTGTTTAATTTAGACACTTGACGTTTATTTTTATAATTATATTATAGGAAATAATAGTTAATTTTACTTAATAATACTTTTTATATTTTTCATTTGGCCTAACCTAATTAAAGTGTTTAGTTTCGCCTATGCATATGATTTTTATTCTAAATTACTCATTATTTTCCTATGTTAAATAAATACGTATAATAAAGTTAACGCATAAATTGTTCATAAGCGCTGTTTATAAAATTTAACTATAATATACGTATTTTATATCTTGCGAATGATCGTATTTGTATAGTATACAATGTTTATGGAAAACTTTCTGGTTCTATTCGAACAAGTATCAATACTGCATCTCAAGTGAAATAAACTGGAGATGTTAATTAGTAAGCTATCCATATATAATTATTGGCGAACATATAATATTATACATACATTTATAAGGTAATGGTACTTATAAAAAAATATTATAAAACTATCACGTTTTATGTCATGTTCTTTGGATCATTGCAGTATTTTGTTTTTAATATCTATAAAGTTTAATTTCTATAATTTACAATAGTCAAGATATATTCATATTAAGTTATTCTTATTATCTATTATAATAATAACACACGTAAAATTAAATTTACTGTACAGAGCTTAATCTGATGAAAAATATTATTGTATATTAACAATTTTCATCCTACAATATTTGAGATTGTTATTAATTTCATGAAGGGCGATATTGAAATATTTCCCCTCCTTGTTATTATTATTTTTTTAAATAATGTTTGATTTTATTGATTTTATTGACTTTCATCAATGTTTGCTGTTATATAATGGTATAAAGTAAAAAGTGAATACTAAAAATAAAAACTGTCACAAGATTTTTTTCTTTTTTTGTGATTCGACTAAGATTTGCTATTCCTTTTATTTGTGCTTGTGTGGATATTCAACGACCTCTTTTACGAGGGGATATTTTTTCGATAAGGGCGTGTCGTTGTATAAATTCTAACACTATTGTATTATGCACAGTGCACATGTTATGCGAGTGGACAAAACTGATACTGTGTGATAAAATAATTACGAGAAATATATGTTGAATATACTTGCTATAATAATTATATAATAATATAGCATCTGGCGATTACTGCCAATTATTATAAGATGCGATAAGTCGATAAGGCCGAAAAAGTAAACATTAAAAAACTTCTTCGATCTACTCGACATGTAGCATAACACCGCTTGACCTGGCGTACCACCCTGTTACCGGCTCTGAAACATTAATCCGACACGGTTATTCATTATTATTACTATTACTATTATTATAAATGCAGGTACCTGTCATTATTCACCAAAACGTATTTAAACATACATGTTTATAGTCTAGCACTTTGATTATCATACGATTGTTTTCGATTAATAAAGAATATTGGCACTAAATGAGCTCGTGGAGCATATTGAAAACATTACAAATATGATGTTATAGTAAATACAAGTTATTCATTTTTTTTTAATATTAAAAATATGAAAACATTTAAAGCATTTAACTCGTCCAAATTATTTTACAGGTATTCTGCTGTAGTATCTACCATCCATTCGTGCAAACACGGCTTTCAAACTGAATAAAGAAAACAGGTCTTGGTTACCAGAGATAAGGGTCAACAGAATGGACTTGGAAGATCGGAGGATTCGTCATGATACACCAAAAATTAAATGTCATGAAAGAAAAAACAAACGTAAAGGAATGGTGTACCATTGGAAGACCAAAGGAAAAACTAAGTAAATAATGTTTAAAAAAATTATATTGAAAATATAGGACAATTAATCATAATTATACCATATACTTAAATAAAATACTAGATTAGTGTTCTTTTTTTAAATTTAAGCATTGTTAGTTTCAACTAATTAAAAACAATCATTTATACACGTCAGTGTAATTGCATTTACATAATGATAACGTTAGTATACGACATCAAAATAAGTGTTTAAATTGTGTTTCATGATGTTCATTAAATAAATTAAATAAATTAATAAAAGTATAATTTTTCAACTAATAGAAGTTATAAAATTGTTTAATCTATTGAGAAAAACACCTTTATTTTAGAAGAATCTGTTTCAGAACATTTCATAAATATTATTAAGTATAAAAGGAAAAGATTAAAATTAAACTAATCTCCTATAGTTAATCATTGTATTGTATTTAAATTTTTGTCAGCCATCAAGATAATTCCGTATATATATATAATAAATTTTACAAATAACAAATGCTTTACAAATGTTCGAAATCATTACAGTAAAAGTATCGACTACAGTTATTTTGTCACGTTAATTATCGATTTCAAACCAAATAATAAAAACAATTTATTTAAATTTTTATAAAAAGTATTGATTTTATTAAATAAAAAGTTCATTTTTTGCCAACTGAATATCTTATACAACTTGAATATCAACCGTTTTGAATTACGCAAAAAAAGATGAAATTAATTTTATTTTATTTAAATATTTAAATAATTTATATCTTGAATATTGTAAAAAATAAAGAAAAATAAACGTTCTATGTAAATTTTTTACGTAATTCATAAACCATCCATTTATATATTTTAATAATAATCCATCATTAAAATGAATGAAACAAATAAAACTAAAAAAAAAATTCTATCAAAAGAGAGTTATAGTTTTACGAGTTTCTGATATAAATGAATTTTGTTTGGATTAATATATTTTAATATTAATGTATATAAAATATAATTGTATTAAGTTAAACTTTCGAGTTTGAGTTTAATAATTGTTAAGATCAATATATTAGCTCTCAGTGACAGATAAAAGATAGTGTCTTTGAAACACGTGACTAATAAATTATTGATCATTATATTATTAAATTTATTATTTTTATTTTAGAATTATAAATAAATCACACACTTTTTAAAATCACTTAACTATATTTAAATTACTATCAGACATGATACTTAAAACCCTAGTTTACAGAATTGAAAATTAATAATGAAAAAACATTGTAGTTGGTGATGTAAAAATATTGAATAAATGTGATTCATGAAAAAAAAGTTCGATTCGCTAGTGCTTATAATTTTGCTATAATTTTATTTTAATATAATTCACAATTAAATATGGGCATATCTGATGAATTATTCGAGAAAAGTGATCAAATATAGATTAAAATGATGATAATTTATAAGATTAACTAAAGTAATTATCAATTAATCATTTTTAGATAATTTAAATTATTTAATTTACATTTTTGGATTGAAATATCTAAGCACGTATAACATATTTTAGTGAGCATTTAAAAAACCCATTGAAACAATAAAAAAGGAATATTATAATAAAGCGTAATACTGTATTATATTTAAGTTATTTAAATTCAAACTATAAAAATCGCTTTAATTAACTTTTTTTGTGTATGTATATTTAGTCAGTCGGTAGTAATAACTCATAGGAAGAGCTATAATTTTGATAATTCATAGCATTGCCTTAATTCAGTCAATTACGCGATTCTCGCAATGTTCATGTTTTATATAAATGTAAATTCGTTAAGCACATATACAGTTGTTATATTTTATGATCTTGTACTTTATCTATAACGTTTTTATATGTTAAAAAATGCACTCAAAAATAAATAAATTTTTATTCAAAACATTATGAAATATTTTCCCTTTGCATTATATTCAACTTTATTGTTTTTTCTTATTTATACTTGAATTTTATTTAATAATGATTGATGTAAATATATAGTTCATAATTTTAAACGTAGTTAAAAATGTTTTTGAAATTGTTATTTATTGTTTATTTCAGAATTAAGTAAAGTTAATACAGTCAAGTCGCGATAATTCGAACCTCGGTAACTCGAAAAACTTGACAACTCGAATTGTGTTTTATTCCCCTAGAAAATTCTTCCCCTATAAATTAGTTAGATATCTCAAATAATACATATCTCGAAAGAATTTTTATCCCCCTTCAACTTCGAATAATAGCGACTCGACTGTATTAAAATAAAGCATAAATTGATATTTGGAAGAAATTATACTACTATTTAATGTCGTCTTACTTTATAAAGAAATTTATCAAATTCATTTAATTTAATATTAAATAGTAAAAAAAAACACATTTAAATACAATTATTTTATTATTAAATTACTAAATTATAAATCTTTCGTTATTTAATAATAATTTGTTATGTTTTAATTATGAATTTAAACATTTTATAGCTGAAATAATTTTTATAAAAGTGAAGATCCTATTTTATTACGAGGAAAAATGGTGATACAGACAATGCAGTGATATTAAAGCTCGAAATTTAAAAGGGTTCTCAATAAATCAAGTTTTCTTACATTTTAAAGAAAGTTTAGATTTCATGATAAAAATTATGCTTAAAGGGGTTCATTTAAGCTTTTCTGTTGAGGTGGAAATTTAGTGGTTTTAATATTGTGATTTATATACTTATATATGATTAAAATATTATCGATAATTTGCTAATTTATTAGTAATGGAAATAATAACTCAATGAATACTGTTTTATATTAAAATATATACAAATTAAACAATATGCATTGATTTTATAATATGCTATCTCTGTCAATGATTTGAAAGCTTTGGATAGTAGTAATAATAATTAATAAATATTAAGCCGTTATAAATTTCTATAGTACATTTCAAATAAGTTTTATTTTATTTTAAAATATGTTAGTAATTTTTATTTTGTTGTATTATAAATATTTTCAAATTTTTATTTAACTATAAAACCATTAAGTATACAATATATTTTGTAATAAGAAATAATAATTGCAAACATGAAGTAGATCGGAGTTGAAAACCTTAAAGGAGAAGTAACTATGATAACATAAACTACTATTTAATAAACAGCCTTTATTTAATAATTGGAATATTAACCATCAGTAATTGGTAAATTAAAACTTACAAAATTCTATTATAATTAGGAATATTAAAATTTATTTTTATTTAGCTAACAGTATAACTAAAAAATTAACAGCTAATCGAACAAATAATATTATATTACTTTCTATACACCATTTTTATAATTGAATGTGTTTGTATTGAAATTGAATATATTGCTTCTGACATGTCTCTCTTTCTGGTAAATCATTTGATCTTAATTCATATTGTATTGGATAAGCTGAGTAGCTCTACAGAGTAAATTTGTTACAATATGAGTGTTTAGGAGCTCTTTATTTCAGTGTATCATATCTATCCATAAAATAACCAATTTAAGTTTATAGTTTATTAATTTCGGTGTAATATATAAAAAATACTAATTTATAGTTTTATAAAATATGACATTAGATTACTTTATTATTGAATTATTTTTTTATTATTATTAGTTATTGTTTTTTATCTTTTATACATTATAAATATTAATTTGGAAACCAAAAAAAAATTATATACATTTTTTAATTATTTAAGTGCATACATTTACTGTAAAGGTAGTATGAGATAAGAAATTATGTTATGCATTAAATAATTCGATTTTTAAACACACACGTAAAATTAAATCTTAATATTATTGGTAAAGAGATAAACTCTAGTATAAATGCTTGTAGATTACTTACCACTAACTAACAAGAAGAGTAAAAATATTAAAATAACTAAATATAAATATAAACCATTAATCGATAATGATTTTTATACATTTTTTTGTGCAACGTTTATATTATATATTAAATTAGTAGCTGCTCACATGATTTAATTCAATCATGTATATTTAAATTATAATATTAATATTATAATTTTTTGGAGAAAAGTAATTTACTATTGATTAAATAATACTAGAATTGTATTTAACATTTTTACGTTTTACGTATAGGTTTTCTTATATTTATTATATTTACAAAATTCATCTAAATATATATTTTAAAACAATCAAACAGAATTAGCAGTATACACATAAAACTAAAAAAAAAAAACCGAAAAACTAATAAACTAGTTTATATATCACGACAGTCTATTGGTGCAATCAAAATATTGAAAATAATTTGCATTCAGGCAATGGTTTCTATTGTTCTGATTAGGGGGAATCGTTTAATAGATTATTTGATCTTTAGGTGGGTAAGATATAAAGTTATGTGACATGACGGTAGCTTTATGAACGCAAAAACTTATTTGAATTTTTAAGAATATTGTTATAGTCAATGTACATTGCTCATGTTCATACTAAATAAGAAAATAATTAATTACCTGAATCATTAAAGAATTAGATGAAATTTATTACATTTATTTGATTAGTACTCGTATTAATATCAATTGTATCAAAGTTTAAAATTAAAATGTAGACTTCTTAGTAAAATTCTATAGTCATTTTTCCTCAATAATGTATCATTAGATATTACAAATGAATAAAAATTAAAAATTAAATTATTTAAATCTTTGTGAAAATTATAAAATGGAATATGTATAAAAATGTATTATTGGAACTTTTCAAACATTTTTATAAATCTTCTAATCTTTTTGTATTCACTTTTTCCAAAGCTATTTTTATTAGGAATATATAAATAATATAATATGTTATAATTGATGTATCAGTTATAACTAAAACATATATATATATATATAAGTACATATATTGGCATTAATTAAGGATACAGATGAAATTGCATAGTAGAAATATTAATAATTAATTAGTATAGTTAGTTATAAATAGTTTATAATTAGAGCGTAAAATTATATTTAAAATACGAGTATAATTTTCATGGCATGTTTTTCATTGGCCAGCTCGCGATTAATATTCATTTAAACATATTTTATAAATTCTGAAACATCGATCGAATACACTAATTGCGTATTTTTGTTGTTTTCTACCCCTACACCTGCTGTGACGTCGGCAATAGAAAAATAATATTATTCGTATTCTGCAGGTGTCCGAACAAAGAGACGACAAAAATCCAAAAACCTGCTCAGATCAACCCCCTAATGACAGTGCTGATGAGTTCCCGACCTCAACTCGACCAAACAACGGGTAAAATCTGCTAATACAGCAAATCTTAACCATGATATCAGTTAATATTTTATATGTTTTTAGTTCTTGAGAACACTTGCACTGAAAGAATGCCGCTGACAGCGTATAGAACTGTGGTTCTGGAACTTCCTGAAAATTTGCAATACAAGCCGGCCGTAAAGAAGCCAATTCCTTCTTGTAAATCGACTCGCAAATGTATTGTGCCTGATTTTAACAAATTGAAACTGAACTTGAGATGGTAAATGTACGTGTTGTAATAATAATTATAGTAATAATAATAATAATAATAATAATAATATAATCAGTGATTAAGTCAAGTCCTTAATAAATGCGGTCGGTTTTTTGTATTTTATTTTTATTTTTAATGAAAAGGGTTGAGTGACCAACGGCTTTTGTAAGTATTATGCTTACTCGGCGCTCATTAGCTGACCCAGCACATTGCAGCCAGTATATACCTATCGCGAACGGGTGATTTATGAATTCTATTCAAGGCGGTTTTTCACGTGGGGTAAGAGAAAAGGAAAAAAGAACAAAGTTGTCGACCGTTTTTCAATTAATCTCCGTGGAGGTCATTTCATCGTACTCGACATTATATTATCACACGCTTATGTTAATACGTATAAATAAACGTATATATACGAGTACATGTATATACTTACATATATTATACGCACATATGCATATTATTATTATAACCGGTTGGGGTATTTGAACGACCCACATATGAGACACTCTGCGAGTGTACCGGTTGAGAAATAAGGTTGGCAATCTTGGGTGTATTCAACTAAATGCGTGTTGTGTGAGGTCGGGTAATAACAACCCCCGTCCTGCGATCACTTTGTAGGTACAGTCTCGTGAAAAAATATTATTATGCCGCATGTGGTGGTGGCGTTCAAGTCTCCGAAGGCCACCGCCACTGCCTTCACTACTATAGAATTCGATGGAAACAGGTTGTTTTGAAGGGTTGCCTAAAATTGTTAGATTAACTACGTACTATGGTACGAGATGCATAGCATGGTAAAAAAATGTACGTAAAAATAAAAAAATATGTTCAAAGATTGATTTTAATCTATTGTTAATTATTATTGAGTTTTTACATAATTTCATTACATGTGTTTAGTGTACTTAAATAATAAAAATGTATTGCGCTTCAATGTGTCCTATTAAATGTTTTATTTTTTTTAATTTATGTGTATCACAATTAAATTAAACCTTATAGTTAATACTAAACGCACGATATGGAAAAATACTGTCTGTTATACTTCCGCTAAAAATATATTAATTTATATAGGATCTTAAGAAACAATAAAGATACGATACGATGCAGATCATACTATGTGGGAAAAAGTGAACGTTATTACTACACACACGATTTTTTTACTCCAATAGTTTTATATTGATAAATCAGTTTTTTTTTTCCTTTTTTTTCTGAATCCGCTTTGTACAGCGAATTCATATGGCAAATTCTCTAGTAAAACACAATAAAACATAATGGTTATTATTATTATATACTTTTTGGCTTTCGTTTAATTTAAAAATCTCCCTCACCCCATCGTAACATAACAGGTAGGCGGATCCCTAACATGGCCAATATTTTACACCGACTGGTATATACGTATAGAAAAGATATATACCATTATAATATGCGTTCAAGAGGCGCCAGTTTGGCGATGGTTTTGTCTGGAACAGCGATGTGATGGAATCTAGAGGCTTGGCTATCCGACAACATTACATACACATGGGTATCTGTGTGCGTGCGCGCGCGCGCGTGTGTGTATGTATGTGAACCGTGGATGATGAGACGCAGAGGGATGTTTTCGTGCACTTGTGGCTAGTGGTGTGGGTGAGTGAAGAGTATAAATCTGTTTGTGTGCGCTTGTGTGGATGTGTAGGTGTGCTTGTGTGTGTGTATGTGTGTGTGTGCCCTGTCGTTTCAAGGTCGGTTAGTCTTCGTAGTCGTCATCATTACTGAATCGCTATTAGATTTAGTAGAGGGGATGAAAAATGTACGAAACACCCTTCAAATACTGGTATATAAATTATATGTATATACTATATATATATATATATATATTATATATTGTGTATATAATATAAAATATTTAATAATTATTATTGTTGTTCGAATACCCTCCTAAAAAAAATAACTGTCTGTTCGGATTCTCAACTAATTACATAATAATAGTAATCTGATCGCGAGAAAAACTCAGAAGATGGAGCCTATTTGTAAGAATTTGCTTGAAAAAATAAAGAAAAATAAAATAGTTTTAGAATTAAAAACGCAACTTATTGTGCATAGTTGTATTCGAAGCACAACATTACTTTTGTTTGTATTTTTAGTATAGTATTGACTGTTTATAGAAAAAAATAAATAATATTTTAAAAATGATGCACACTCATCACAATTCGAAACTTATATCATATGTTGTTAATATTAGTATAATATTAAACAGTTTTAAATAAAAAATGTATGAATATTATCATATATGTCATAGTAAAACGGTATAATACTATTTATATTAATATAAAATATAGTCAATAATTTTTAACTTAAAATATTTATATTATCAGTCAAATATAGTATAATAATAATATAACTGCTGTTACTGTTCTAATCAATTGTATAAAACTTGAAAATTAACTATAAATATTTTGCTTTTGAAACTGTAATTAATTCCATAAATAATTTAAATTACTTATGAATATAATAATCGTTTTTTGGCTAACATTCCCTTTAAAAAATATTATTACTATGCACATACTATTCGTTATAAAAATAATAAATGTTCTACCTATACATGCACACATTTATAAAAAAAAAAAAAAATTAATATAATGGAAGAATATCATTATTGTAATATTATTGTTAATAAGCATGGACAATGAATGTATATGAAGTACAGAATATCATTGATTCGTGTCTGACTTTGGGTGAAACATATGCTCTTCCTAAAGAGGGATAATGTTTCCTTGGAAGTCACGACGGAAACTATCAATTTCTGTTATACCTACAAAGTACATTTGGAACGGATTTATTTTGTATTCTCAAATATTTACCAACTCTTTCAATAAACTCAGTCGATTGGCAATAAATATTTCCTGGCCCTTATACCTGTTATATACCTGGGAATCCTATAATGTTGTGTATTTTTTTGTCTGTCGGTTGTCAAAGAATCGTGTGTACGAATATATTATATTAATAATAGTAACCAAGGTTCGATTAATACCAGTGTCGTACCAGTCAACATAACCCCAAACCAAATACAAATACATACAAATGCGAAACAAAATGCATTGAAAGTCGGCTGAAATTCAATTATTTATTTAAAAACATTCACTACAATATTGTATGGCACCGTACAATAGAGAATAATTAAAGCAAGTTGTGGAGACTCAAAGTATAAATGTTTTATTTTTTGATATATGTTATACAGAGTAATTTAATATTGCATACTCGTATATAGACAATAGCAGTAGTTTACAAAAAAGTAATTACTCGGACATTTTTTTTGACTAGCATTTTAAGCTAAGAAATTGTACAATCAAATTATTAACCGCTGTTATATAAATGAAAATATGTATATTAAAATAAATAAAGATTTAGCGTTTTAATTTGTTTTTTAAATTTATAAATCTTCTAATGATTTGAAATGTGTCAAAGTTCCAGGAGTTATACAAGACCGTATATTTTTTTCTATTTCTCATTTGCATTTATATGTAGCACGTAGACATTTATTAGAAACATCAAAAATTATACTTTTAAAGAAACAACAACTATTTCCCTCAAGTACTTAATTTTCTGTGTATATTTATTTTATACAAATATTATCAATTGTATGATTACCTATTAGGTTTTCGGTCGTAAAAAAAGTTTTAAATTGACATTACATTCGACACAATGTAGTGTAATATGACTGATTACAATAATTGTTATATTTCCCCCCTAAGCTTATGTATGTTTTCGCTTATTATTTGCGTTTATACAATACCGAATTCTTTGTTTATAAAATGCTGAAAAAAGGTGAAAAAAATTACTAAAAACTTTGGCCTTTTGTACAACTTCTGCAACTCAATAAAAAAAAAACCAAGTATAAAAAAAAAAAGAACAGCGTTAGTTTTTTTTCAGTGTCACAACTATCCAACTTTTTCGGGATGATTTTTCATTAACGACTTTCAAAAATAATAATAATAAAAAAAAAAAGACCAGAGAACGAAATATTGTTTGTTTAAAAAGCAACCTGTAGATGAGGAATAAGATGTATACATAGACGCTTATTAAATTAATATTTTTCTCTCGTCGGACGTTATTTTTAAGACTTGCTGCGTATTAAAATATGCTGCACATACGTTACGACGGGACCGAAAAAAAAAAAAAAAATCATAATTTTTACTCGTAATAATAATAATCTGTTTTCGGCATAGCCAAAAAAAAAAAAACAACGTTGATTGTTTCCAAGAAACATAACAACAACAAGTAACGAAATACAGCGAGTACATAATGCGCGTATAAAACGCGCGTTGCTGTTGCAGCAGTGGTGTCCAAAAATAAAACGAGAATTCAGCTACGGCCGAAAGACAACACAATAATGCGCTGGTGGTATATTAGCGGTGTACAGCAGCGGCGGGTGATTTCAACGGCGCGCGGTCGGCCTATGGTTTTTTGGTACACATTGGCGTGTTGTTAAAAATTATTGTTGTACACTGTTAACGGTCGGCGGCAGCGACCGCGGTCGGTACGGTTCAAGGGCGCGGCGGTAATATCGAGCGCGGTCCGCACGTAAATAGTATAATGTGTTATATGAGATCCGTACGTGTTGTATAATGTACGCGCGTAATGTACAGTGGCGAGAAGAGAGAGGAGCACACGGGTGTATATGGGAAAGGAACGAATAAAAACCGCACGGGCAAAAGAGCAGAGGGCGTTTTGTTCTTGCGCTGCGCCATATGCACTCGGTTTGTATTCGTACGCGCGATACGTGTGTGCATCGCCAATCGCAACTGTAAACACGTGCGTACGGATTTCCGACGAGGTCCGTCGCCGGAAATTCACCGCCGATGATTCATTCGATGCGGCCGTCGTTCGAATCATTATTGTTTGGTCGTGAGTGCATACCGCGTTAAATATATACCGGATGATCGAAATTTCACAGATTGACAACGGGTTATGGTACGGTTACGTTTTATCGCTGATGGTAAAACTTTATCCGAAACGTTACGTCATCACTCGTCCTGTGAAAAGTACAAACGAAAAAAATGCTCCGTTTCGCCAACAACGATTTCGTTGCCATGGTAAAATCATGGTAAGATTTATGTAAACATTTCAATAAAATAGAATCGGTTGATTTTACGGTTCTGACTACGATTTCGTTGCGAATTTACTATGACAACCGAATCATTGTTAGGGAATAGAGAAACTAACTAATTTCTGTTGAGCGTAAGACTTATTCATGTTCCAATATTTCCGTACATAGCGTGGAGGATACTTACGATGATGAGCGAGATGGCCAGCTTATCTTTTAGGCATAAAAGATAAATATTTTTATAAAATAATTGCGTCATATGTTACAATCGATAAAGTTCAATCACCATTGATCACTGATCAGTGTACGGCCAAAACTACCGTACCGTTCATAACGGTTCATTTGAAATGTACTGTAATGTAGGAAACGCACTTATTATGTACGTGTATTCATACGAAGAATCAAAAAACTTCTTAATAGTGAAGTCTCGTAATAATATTATTATCTAAAATTATTTTCGAGATTTAAACGTTTACTAATTTAAAGTGGAAACCGCTGTCACGTGAAATTCTGATCGCTACGGTCGGCGATACGTATATAATATACACCTGTGTTCATTAGGTACCGGCACAAAAGTATGAGTTACATAAACGCGCACAATGGGTACAACAATAATAATATTATGACGACGACGACTATAACACACCGATGACGTTTTGGTGGTGAGAGGAAAAAATAAAAAAGAACGCCGTCGATGAGTCGTGTTCATGAATGGGAGAATAAGTGTTGTATAATTCGGGTGCGTGTATTATACACGATAAACATACGCGCAGGGAAAAGGATAGAGTGAGTGAGAGAAAGAGAGAGAGAGAATGCGTCCTGCTGAAGGTCCACGCACGCGCGGGCGCGATCCCATACAATGACGCGTGGTGACGGCGGCGTCGCGGCGCTTGCGAACGAGGAAAAGAAAAAAAGGTCTTTTTGGGTCATGTAAATGACCCTAGCGCGGAGTGCGAAACGGGAAGGGATGGAGGGCAGGGAACTGTACCGAAAATAAGAAGAAATGCTCTGCACGTGTGACGCAACGACCGCGCGGTCAGGGGATAATCGCCGCGCGTGTGTATTATATAATAATAACACATACATACCGTCTGCGGCGGTTATTATTGTACAGTATTATGTGTGTACATTATACACGTCATGTATGTGTGGTGCGAGCAGGACGCAGGACACGGGTACTTCTATTGTTGCTCGTTGGGCTCGTGCCCCTCGAGTCGCAGCAATAAACGTCGTACGTACCTGTTCGCGATGCTAATTCTGACGACAATGAGAGTGTTTTTCACCGGACCCACATCGTGTCCTGCTCCTGCGCGGGGTGTCTTACGCATTATGTACACAGCACACACACACACACACACAC